GGCCGGGCCGGGGCAGGCCGGCGCGGCTCGGGTTTCCGCCGCTCCCCCGCCCCCAGGTGGTGCAATCCTCCTCGCCGCCTCCTGGCGGACGAGACGCTCTTTTCCGTTCTCGGGGTTTTCTAGAAAAGTGGAGGCGGAGCCGAGCCTGGAAATAGATCCGCCGCTTGGGCGCCCATCCTCCTTCCGGGACCAGGAGTCTAGTGGGAGCGAGCCCGGCCCTGCACTGGGTGCCGGGTTCACTCCTAACCCGGGCCGGTCGGCTGGAGACAGCTGTCACTCAGTGGGTACTGACGCCGCCCTTGTATTTACGATCAGTGATTACTCCTGGTCGGGTTACACTGTGTTTTTTCTTTTTCCCTTCGACACAGTGCCTTGGTATTTTTTTTTCCAACCAGAACTAAGAATGGGGAGATGAAGTGTTTTTTTTTTTTTTTTAAAGAAAAGTGTAGACCAGTAACATGGAAGGCATTTTGGAGATTTGATCTCACTTTTATCCCTTGCAACGAATCTACTGTGTCTTGATGCAGATGGTCAGTAGGACAGAGGGTAACATTGATGACTCGCTCATTGGTGGAAATGCCTCCGCTGAAGGCCCCGAGGGCGAAGGTACAGAAAGCACAGTAGTCACTGGTGTGGACATTGTCATGAACCATCACTTGCAGGAGACCAGTTTCACAAAGGAAGCCTACAAAAAGTACATCAAAGATTACATGAAATCGTAAGTGATGTCACAAAGTTCAGCTTATGCCCAGGGTTTTGGGATTTAGGGATTGGCTGTGAAAAGTGCCTTTTTACTGATGAGCTGATAGACAAGGATGATTGCCTTTCAGTTCATTAATTAGAGTGTGCTCTGATTTGTCACTCAACAGTGGTACTTTAAAGTCAAGTTTGCAGGAAGTTGTACACTTTTGTGTGCTGGGATTTAAGCTCATACTTGCTAGGCAAGCTCCATCACAGTAATACCTTTGTATTGTACCATGTTATTTTGCTCACAGCAAGTTCACTTTTTCCCGATTGCAGAATTTTTAGTTGAATTCTTAAAAATTGATTGTGCTAAAGCCATACTTTAGTGACTTGTTTTTGTTTTTCATGACTGTTTTAGACTTAAAGGCAAACTTGAAGAACAGAAACCTGAAAGAGTAAAGCCTTTTATGACAGGAGCTGCAGAGCAAATCAAGCACATCCTTGCTAATTTCAATAACTACCAGGTAAATACTTGGAATATTTGCATCATAGGATTGTACAATTTAATTGCAAAACAAGATTTTTTTAATCTTCAAGTCTTGGCTTTAGCTATTTAAATAGCAAGTTTCATAGAATCAGTTGGTGGTGTAGAAATGACCTTTCGGACCACATTTTGCCTTGCTAAAAATGGCTTGCCCTTACTGGCTTCTGGATTCTTGTCTTAACCTGAGTGTTCCAACTTTACAGTTCTAGTGTGTAAGCCACTGGTTCTGATATACCTGAGCTCATTAGTTCTCTTCCTTAGGAAATCTTTCAGTGACTTCTAAATTTTTAATCATCTCTTGGCCCTGAGATCCGTTCCTTATGATTTTCATTATCACTGTCAAGCTTCTGTTTGCATTGGTTTATTGTGTTAGTAGGCTTGGAATTCTTATTGTGGGATTGAGAAAAAAGTTTCTAGGAAGCCTAAAAGTGTTCCTGGGTGATAATGATGTGAGAAACTGATGTTTGTGAGTCATGAGCATTGCTCTAGCCATCAGAGCTTTACCTGAAGTTTGGTTTTTATGGTGGTCTGAATCACACTCTGTAGTTTGTGCTACATGTATATATATATACATTTAATGGTCTAATGAGTCTAATTTTATGTGTTTGTTTCCCAAGTTTTTTATTGGTGAAAACATGAATCCAGATGGCATGGTTGCTCTCCTGGACTACCGTGAGGATGGTGTGACCCCATTTATGATTTTCTTTAAGGATGGTTTAGAAATGGAAAAATGTGTAAGTATGAGGACGTTTGTGTCCTGTCCACCAGGAGTAGTTGGAATGTTTTTTTGTCTGGGGGGAATTTGAAGAGGATTGTATTTCACATCCAAGATTCTTATAAAAAGGCTTAGAAGTCTTGGTTATCTATAGGAAACTGGATGTAGATAGTATAAAACACAAAGTGCTGACCTGGCTATCAGGTCAGCATTGTATAATAATTTGAACTGTAGCTAATGACCTTACTTGCATACTGCCACATATGAGTATCATTCTCTTTCACTTTGGGTTACTGATCATTGAAAGTCCTGGAATATTGTTGGCTTCTAGTAAGTAGCAAGAGCTGACTGCTGCATTGATAAATAGAGGAATTGTCTTACTAAATTGAGTTTACTAAAAATAAATACATGAATGTCTGCTCTTACATAAGGAAGTGCCTTGGGCTGTACAGAAACAAAGGCATTGATTGTCCTAGCTTTTGGAGGCTTCCCATACAAATTAGGTAGAAGAAAAACCCATACTGAACAAAATTAGAAACAACAGTAGACAAGAATTGGGGAAGTACAAGAGCCCTGTTTACAGTTGTTAAGTCATTCAGGATTTGAGGTCTTCATTGGTACAACACTGAACAGGAATGAGGCTGCATCTGTTTGGTTTGGTAGTAATGTTGTTCTGCATCCACTGATAGACCTTGAACAGTTTGCTGTGGTTCTTTTGGTTTGCACTAGGATGCAAAAGAAAACAATCCCTGCGCTTTCTGTCTGTCTTTGTGGCAGCCCAGATTGAATTGGGGAATACATCCCATCCATATAGTAGGAAAGTTAAATAATCTAATTGGGAAAAAGTGTTAATGTAGTTTTTCTTCTTGCAGTAACAAATTGGGCAATTATTTTGGATCTATCACCTGTTACCATAACTGGCTGCTGCTTGTCATCCACACAACACCAGGACTTAAGACAAATGGGACTGATGTCATCTGGAACTCTTCATTTCTTTTGACCATGGTTTATTTGGAGTGGAGACATTGTTTTTTAAGAAAAAAAAACATGTCATGTAGATTGTCTAAAAATAAAGTGCATTTGAACTCAAGAGAATGCCTCTTGGTTTAATGTTTAAACACAATCCATCCTGTAGTGTTCCTGGAAGAGCTAGAGGCTGGTATTCCACTCCTACTAGAAAGAATGGGACTGTCTTCAGCTAACTTCTGCAGTGGAAAAACTACTTAAGAGACTGGAATGTAAAAGTCAAGATTCAATTGAGTTACAGTATAAAGTAACTCACGGTCACTGGAATGCCCTTGCTCACACCAGTGCCAACATTTGAAGTGGAGCTTTGTATATTTCATCACCTTCAGTGGAAGTAGATAACCCTGGACAAGATTGCCAAAAGAATAAAAGAGACTAACCTAGTTGAAAGCAAAGTATTGTCTGAGCTTATTTTAATATAAGTAGTAAAAAGTGTCTTGGAGCGTCAAACTCTTTGGTAACTAGGACAAGGGTTGGTAAGTGGTTGGGAAGAGATCAAACGAATATTTCATGGGATGTGGCCTAAGTTTGTCAGTTGTTGGGATATGGCCATACTGATGTGTATCTGGCTTCTCTGCATAAACAGTAACAATTTAGGCCTGAAGTAACCATAGGGTTCCCTTTTTCTGGAGTCTTTCCAGTTCCTGCATCAGGAAAGTGGGTGGATAGAAGGATAGACAATAGACCCAAGAACTTTATATTGTCTAAAAAATACATGAATATGGAAACACACTGAATTTTGATATACCTAAAGCAGTATACTGTCATCTATATAAGAAAATGTCTTGCATGCTTGAATAGAGATTTTTTAATTTGGTTATAACCCAACAGTGAACCTATAGTTCATGTTCATATGAGAAAATTTGGAAAACCTCCCCTGACATTTAACCTGTCAGGAAAACAAAGTCTAAAATAAAATACATTTTTGATAGAGTAACCGAATTTGCCCAGTTACATGTTAAGTTTATGATATTCTCAAACTTAAGGCAGATACTAATCAGGTTAGTGGTGCCCCCTAGTGACAAGAAAATCCAGCTACTGGATCACCCATTTTAACTAGCTAAAACGAAGGTGCTGAATGCACTGGCCTAATCTTGCAATCCTAGCTACTCAGGAGGCAAAGATTGAAAAGACAGTGATTCAAGGCCTGCTCAGCCAAAAAGCAAAACCCAATCTCAAGCCCAGGTATGTGGGACATAACCTCTGTTCCCAGCAGACAAATCACATAACAGCTCTGGACAAAGTGAAAATACAAAAATGTATTTTGCTTTTCAAAATACAGGTAAAGTGCTGAGGACACGTTTCCCACAGTAGAGTGCCTACCTAGCAAGCAGAGGGAAAATATCCTGTCTGATGTGGGAGGAAACAGGCTTAGAGGAAGGGAGTTTAGGCAACAATTGCTGTCAAAACTAGGACCTTGGGGGTAACTAATAACCTGGAACCTAGTCTTAGAGGTCTGAAAGCAAATAGGAATAACTCAGGCTTTGTTGTGAAACTATAGATACGTCTCTTTGCCTAGTTGTCTGCAGTGCTATTTATGGCTGTACCCTTCTACTACCCAGGTTTGTGTACCCAGCACAACGTTGTAGTCTGTTTAAGAAGTGGCTAACCATGGAAAATGGTAAAACTATATAACCTGGGGTGACATCCAAAGAGAAGTCCAACTTAACATGTTAATTGTAACCCCTCTACATTACTTTTATACTGATAAACACAACACCCCATAGATCCCAAGTAGTTGGCCAAAGAGTAGCTTTATTTAGGTCTTTTGTTTTTGTTATTTGTTTTGGCCCTGGGGCTTGAACGGGGCTTCTGGTTTTTTCTGAGTAGTTATTGGAAATATGAGTTTCACAGCTGGGTGCTGGTGGCTCATGCCTGTAATCCTAGTTACTCAGGAGACTGAGATATGAGGATCACGGATCCAAGCCCTGGCAGGAAAGTCCCTGAGACTCTATCTCTAATAAAACACTCAGAAAACCCTAAGTGGCGCTGTGGCTTAAGTGGTAGAGTGCTAGCCTTGAGCTGAGAGCTGAGGGACAGCGCCCAGGCCCAGAGTTAAAGCCCCACAGTCGGGGGCGGGGGGAGGGAGGGGAAGTCTCAGACACTTCCACCCGAACTGGCTTCAAACTGCAATTCTCAGATCTCAGCCTCCTGAGTAGCTAGGATTACAGGGGTGAGCCACCAGCACCCAGCTGCGGACCTCATTTTTAATCTGTTTCTGTTTATTGCTAGAGTCAGATTAACGCATTTTGATGAGTAAAAGGCAATGTATACTTGTGAAAGGCATCCTGTCATTTTATCTTAGTGATGCTGTTTGATACAGGTATGTTTCTAATGAACTGTGTGTTGGCCTTGGCCTTTGTTGCCTGTATGAACAAATGAATGGAAAAAGGACTTTCACAGTGTTGTCAGGGAAGGAAAGCCTTTGTAACATGCTGCTGTTTTAATACAGATGTGAAAGTGTAGTAGACTGTGATACTGGGGCAGATATTCAGACCAAGATAACACATCATCTAGATTGTCCTTGACACAAGAAATCAGAAGGAAAGAATGGAGATTGAAAAGTAAGATTGCGTAGAGAAAGACCATCATGCAGGAAAACCATGGAAGGGCTTTGAGTAGAAGTTTTACCATCTGACTTAGTTTTTCAGCAGATGTCTTTACTCTGGGTAACAAGGTAAAAAGCATCAGTATTTTCAGGTGAGAGGTGACAGCGATAGTAGAAATGGTTGGAAATGAAAGTAGGTAGATGTACCATTGGGTTAGATGAAAGGTGAAAATGATTGAAGAATGATGCCAAGTATTTTACCCCAAGCATCTGGAAGAAAGGTTCAGATGGGAAGATGGGAATTCAGGTTTGGTTCATTGTGATTCTTTATTCAAATGAATTGGTAGGCAATTGGGGTTTGTGTCTAGAGGACAGTGGAAGTGTCTTAAGTTGGAGAACCCAATACAGATAGTGGGGGTAATCTCAATAGTGACATTAGAAGCCATAAAAGACCTTCCAAGCTAGGGACTGGTGGCTCATGCCTGTAAGCTTCTCAGAGATCTGAGGATTATGATTCAAAGCCAAAGCCAGCCTGGGCAGGAAAGCCATGAGGCTCTATCTCCAATTAACCACCAGAAAATGAAGTAAAGCTGTGGCTCAAGTGTTAGAGCACTAGCCTTGAGCACAGAGAGCTCAGGGACAGCACACAGGGCCTGAGTTCAAGCCTCATAACATTAAAAAAAAAAAAAAAAAGACCTTCCAACATAGACCAGTCAGTGTGATGGGGAATCAGGAAAAGTGATTAAGATCAAACTCTGAGGTAAGAGAACCAAGGGAAGACCTACCAGAGGTCAGAGGAATAAGTAGTTTAGGAAGGAGGAGGCAGGTCATTAGGGCTTTCTGCTCCTGCTACAAATTGGCTCAGAAAGATGAGAACTGAGACTGGTAAACTTAACAACTGTTAGATGTCAGTAGTTGGGGTAAAGCCTATGTTTAAGTATGTTTAAGAGAACAGCACGTGTACAGGCAACCATGGCCCACAAAATGTCATAATATAAACATGTTTCTTTGTTATTACGATGCATTTGCTTAAAGATAGATAGATAGTACAGGAGTTTGAAGTAGAGTCTACTACACCTCTAGTCTTTTTGCTTTTAAAAAATTATAAAGGTGACGTACAAAGGGGTTACAGTTATATAGGTTAGGTAAATAGCACATTTCTTTTTGGACAATGTCACCCACTCCCTCTCTTTTTCTCTCTCCCAGTTTTTGCCTCCCATCCCCGTCCTTTTTGCTTTTGTTATTTTCCAGCTTGTGCTGGAACTGGCTTCAGACTGATTCTTCCTCTGCCTTCTGGGTAATGAGGATTGTAGACATATGCCAGCACACCCAGATCATTGGTGTTGCTTGGCTGGTCTCGACTTGCCATCCTTCCAATCTCTACCCCTCAAGTAGCTGAGATTGCAAGTATGAGCTACTGTGCCTGACCATACAGCAATTTAAATAATAGTACTATACTAGCCCTGACTATCTAACACTTATATACCAGAAATGTACTGGATGACTTTCCTCATGTTAAGGAAGCAGTTAGGCCCTAGTTTAACATCAAATTAATCTTGCCCATGGCCTCGTGTAGCACACAGGCTGGTGCAGTCTCTATGCCAGTACATAATCTACCTTTCCCGTATGGTTTGAATCTGAAATGTCTCCACAAGCTCTTGTGTTGACAATGTGGGTCCTAGGTGGGATGCTATTTGGGGAGATGGTAGAAATTTTAGAATGTGGGACTACCGGAAGAAAGCAAGTCACTGGGCCTACCTTATACTGTCCTGGGCAGCACAGACCTTGGATAGCTCTGCTTCCTAGCCTCCATGAGGTGAGGGCTTTGCTTCACAACATGTTTCGCCCTATCCCATGATGCTCAGCCTGGCTGTCGACCCACAGCAATGGAACCAGCCAACCATGGACTGAACCTTTGGAACCCTGAGCCAAAATCAACCTTTCTTACTTTTAAGTTGTTGTACCAAACTATTTTGGTCTAAGCAATGATAAAGCTAAGTAACCCAATTCCCTAACTTACAGAGAACATAGATGTTTTCTGAACATTTATTCAAAGTATATATATATATGTAGATATATGTATAATATATATATTTGTATGTATGTATTCAAGCACATATATATGCAAACCTATATATAGGATGTGTGTATATTTATTTATTTATTTATTTATAGGCTTGAATATGTGTGTGAGTGCATGTAATTTTTTTTTTTTGTCAGTTGTGGGCTTGAACTCAGCCTGGGCACTGTCCCACAACTTTTTTTTTTGCTCAAACCTAGTGCCTTCCACTTTGGGACACAGCGCCACTTCCAGTTTTCTGGTGCTTAGTTGGAGGTAAGTGTTTCAGACTTTTCTGCCTGGGCTAGAATCACAATCCTCAGATCTCAACCTTTTGAGTAGCTAGGATTACAGGCTTGAGCCACCAGTGCATGGCTCTTTTAGTGTTTTAACTTGGGAATTTTCCTTAAGAAGTACCAATTTGTCATACCAAAATTACCCAATGAATATTTAACCT